CACACACACACACACACACACACACACACACACACACATATATACACCCACGCGCACCCTCTCTACTCGTGCCTTCTGCTCTTTTTTGGTTAAAATGTTATTCTGCTCGCATCGCATTAGACCATTTACTATATTTTTTCAGTTACGGTATTGAATACGTAAATTAAATGCGAAATTGCATTGAAATTTGAACACGTATACTAAATACCAAGTAGTGTTGAATACGTAAAATAAACACACGCAATACACCACAAACGGAGACGCTTGTTGTTAAGCCCTTCCCCTTCCCTTTTATGGTCCCGTGTTCGCTTTTGGACGCCAAGTACCTTCCCTTCCCCGAACAAAACTCCCCACCATTAATTAGGAACGTATACAAGCACTATTCCGGTCCAAATACCGTCATGATACTTGCGCCCTCTATTCTAGAAAACAGGGTAGGCCAAGCTTATAATCGGTCGGCGCAAGATCGATCTGCACTTGAGAGCCTTGATCCCCCAATTGTCCCCTCCGCATAGGACGACGGAGTTATTGACACAATTCGAGATCATCCTCCGCAATCATATATGATCAGCAAAAGTCTTAACTGATAGATTGTTCATCATGATCAGAAGTCTTAACTGATATATTGTTCATCATCATCTCAGAAGTAATATAACCTGAATACTCCTGTAAGTCCAATACCGTTGATATCCAATCACTTTGACAGTAATCACAAGATCTACTCTACTACCTCATCCGCGAAATGTAATTAGTGCAAATTATGGTATTGCAATGCTTGCATGTCCAATCAGAGAATCGAACACATAACCGACCGCTTGTCAGGCAAACAACTAATCAATAGAGCAAATGAGTTTTAATCTTTGGCGGGAAAGTTGCTTTGAATGGATGTCTCTTTCGCGGGAAAGTTGCGTTGAAACAAATATTTGTCTCTAACGGCCACAACAGAGTTTTAATCTTTGGCGGGAAAACGCTATTTCGAATTCGCGCCACAATTCGCCGTGCGCTGTTTTGAATTCGCGCCACAATTCGCCGTGAGCTGTTTTGAATTCGCGACGGAGTTCCGCGCGCGCGCGCGCGCGCAAGATTCAGTAAGGCT